AGACCTGGTTCAGACTCATGCAATCCCTGCTTGCTGTTTCCTTGAGCCCATGTTCTCCGAATGTCTTCCATTCCCTAGACTCTTACAATTTTTCCTTGCCCTCTTCCAAGTGATTCTTCCATCTCCAAGGGAAAGGACCCAGTGGCCAATGGAAACCTCCAATTTAGACTCTGTCTGCATAATGTCTAGTTGTGGGTATTTGTTCCCATCTGCTACTAGAGGAAGCCTCTTTGGTAGTGACTAAACAAGGACTGATCTATGAAAATAATCGAATATCATTAGGAATCATGGAATTATTTGTAGGAGAGTCTTACTGGCTGACACCATCCCTAGGCAAGTAAGCCTGAGCTATATAAGAAGGGCAGCTGAATGAGCCAGGGAGCAGCATTCTTTTACATGTTTTGCTTCAGTTTTTGAGTTAATGCCCTGATTTCCTTCAGTGGTGGGCTGTAATCTGGAAGTATAAGTTGAAATCAAGCCTTTCCTACTCAGAAAGAAAGAGAAATAAATACTTAAATAATTAAGAGGTTTTATAAATAATACTAGCTTAGCTCTTGTTTGATGAGTGCTTAGCATGAGCCCGTGAGCCTGTAAGGTCTGAGACGCTTAATACAGCCCTCAGACTACTGGGAATCCAGGCATGGACACACCACCAGACGACCGGGAATCCAGGCATGGACACACCACCAGACCCATGTGCTTCTGACACTTGGCAGAAACCTTCTCATTCTTGCCACTGCAGGGTCCTTCCATTCCTGGTCCAGCTCTCGAGAACTCGGCTTCTCCCCTTAGACTAGTAGCCCTAAACCCTGGCTGCATACTGGGACCCTCTGGAAAGGCCAAGACGCCCTGACCATGAACTCCATCTTTCCCCTGCAGAGATCTAGTCTCTTTTGGTCTGAGATGCAGTTGGGTGTCTGTGATAGTTTATATTTTAAAAAAAAAAACAGTCTTTGAGTGTCACATGTTCTGCATGCATCAGTCTTCCTGGCCCAGGATCACTGTGTAGTCCAAAGCCTCTCAGGACTCTGCACTGAAAAGGTCTGGCCAGCTACTCTAAAGCCCGTCCTAAACCACTGGTGCACTGGTGTGCCTTGCACAGACAACTACAGGAGCATGGACTATTCCAATCTGGGACCGTGGCAGGAGGGCACACAGTCACCCCAGTCTCAAAGTTGGTAGGGCTATATTCTGGGGCTCTTTATTTCATGGTTAGTTATTTTTTAAAAAGTAATATGCTCTCAGACAAATTTTGATACTTGGTCACTCTTATACATCCATCTATAACAAGAGGAACAACTGTATGTTGAAATGCTGATTTTATTCATGGGACATGCTTTTTCTTTACTGACTCTTTGATAAATTCATATTCCAAAATTCAAATCAGTTTTCTTATGAACAGTGTGGGCAGTTCAGCACGAACTGGATGGGGGACAGGTATAGTTTTAAAACATCACTTTGTGGAGATGGATTGAAGAACAGGGTTAGTCCTGTTAGAAGAAACACTCCTTTCACACAAGAATCACAGAGTTGTGATGTGGGATTCCCCTCTGTGTGCTGTGAATAAAGAAACCACTTTGGCCTGTTGATAGGGTAGAACTTAGGTAGGCAGGGAAAACTAAACTGAATGCTGGGAGAAAGGTGGAAGAGTCACAGACAGAAGCCATGTAGCCCCGCCAGAGACAGATGCCAGATGGAACTTTACCTGGGAACTTTACCCCGTAAGCCACAGCCACATGGCGATACACAGATTGCTAGAAATGGATTAAATTAATATGTAAGAATTAGCCAATAAGAAGCTAGAACTAATGGGCCAAGCAGTGATTTAATTAATACAGTTTCTTGTGATTGTTTTGGGCCTAAGCAGGAACTATCTAGTGGCCTCCTTCCAACAGAGTTGCCTTAAATAGAACCATTAAATAATTGCATACAGATCATAGACCCTGAGTGAGTTCTGTAAAATAGAACCATTAAATAATTGCATACAGATCATAGACCTTGAGTGAGTTCTGCTTTAAATAGAACCATTAAATAATTGCATACAGATCATAGACCTTGAGTGAGTTCTGTAAAATTCAACATTCTAAGTTACAGGCAGAAAACTAAAATCTCAGCTACCCTGATTCAATATTAGAAGTGTATCTGATCAGTGGTGGCACATGCCTTTAATTCCTGGAGGCAGAGGCAGGCTGATCTCTGTGAGTTCAAGGCCAGCCTGGTCTACAGAGAGAGTTTCAGGACAGCCAGGGCTGGTACACAGAGAAGCCCTGTCTTGAAAAACAAATAAACAAAAAGTGTGCTAAGTCCAGCTCAGAGAGAAAAGGTTTCTGAGTCATGAGTTGGTTCTACTGCAGATGATCACACCTGTTTCTCCTAGAGTCACTGTGCACCTCCTGGAATCTCAGGACTTGACAAGAGTTGTATTACTCACTGTTAACATGTAGTCTACTTTCTGCCACTTTGTGCCCTGTGGAAAATCACTCAACTTTTCTGAGCCTCCTTTTCTTCATGTGTAAATGAGGAACTAGGTGACATCTATGGTACTTTTGATGCTAAGATTCTGAGTCTAGAATTTTCCACAGGGCATTTTTTTTTATCTTTTTAACTATGTGTATATGTATGTATGCCTGTGTCCCCACAGGTGCATACATACTTCACTTAAAGTCCGGAAAATGGGAGTGAAAAAAAAATTCATGGCTATATGGTAAGAGTAGATTCATGTATAATACAAATACCAAGTAGGGATGATTTTGTCGCATAAATGATGTGGGAGTGATTTCTTTCTAATCTGTTGCTTTCATTGGTTAACTAATAAAGAAACTGCTTGGCCCTCTGATAGGGTAGAATTTAGATAGGCGGAGTAAACAGAACAGAATGCTGGGAGAAAGAAGCTGAGTCAGTGAGTCGCCATGATTCTCCCACTCCAGACAGATGCAGGTTAAGATCTTCCCTGGTAAGCCACCTCGTGGGCTACACAGATTATTAGAAATGGGTTAGATCAATAGAGCTAACCAATGAGAGGCTAGAACTAATGGGCCAGGCAGTGTTTAAAAGAATACAGTTTCCGTGTAATTATTTTGGGTAAAGCTAGCCAGGTGGCAGGAAGCGGCCCGCTGCCCTTATTACAACACATAAATTCTCCTAACAAACTCTGTAGTTATCACAAATGAATGTGGTAAGCATTCTTTTTTGACGCCATTGGGTTTTTCACTCCACAAGTGCATTTAAAACATTATCAGAGCTGTCAATCTTTCCATTCCATTTCCTCACGTACAAAGAAATATAAAATGGCCTCCCTCAGGCTTCAGTGGGCACACATTAATTATCCAGGAACCCTTAGCCAGTATAAATTCTGTGAGGGTGGCATTTGTCTTTGAAGTATTTTATACTCATGTTTCTCAAAAAGATGATAGTAGTTAAAAAGCAGTGATTTGGGGGTGAACTTAGTTAGGTGGATGATAAAAACTGTAATTTCCTACAGTTGCTCACTAATGCTTGAATGGGAGGTGTGGTATAAGCTTCCTAGTGTGGTTGTGGCTTATCAGAATATTAAAATCAGGTAGTGTGGGTAACGAGTTCCAGGGTTTGTATTATTGCTTCACTATGTTTTATTATTGTATTATTGCTAATGAGTCGTTATATAGTTGAATGTCAACTTGTCTGACCTCACAGTGTGTACTCAGTGTATTCTTTAGAGGTCTGTTCCCTCTTCCTAGGTCCCAAATGAAGCATCCATTACCTGCCATAAGCAATGCCCCATTGATAAATTTCACATGGAGACCATAATAAGCTTAACATAATTTAAGATTTTAAGTGTATTACTGAAGCATGGCTGGGACTAAATGGATACAGTATCATAATATTTAATAAGTCAGATTTTATATTGTGTTGTCTAGACAGAGGTGGCATTTTTTTATTGTTTTTATTGAGCTATACATTTTTCTCTGCTCCCCTCCCCTTCTACCCTCTCCCATGGTCCTCATGCTCCCAATTTACTCAGGAGATCTTGTCTTTTTCTACTTCCCATGTAGATTAGATCCATGTATGTCTCTCTTAGGGTCTTCGTTGTTGTCTAAGTTCTCTGGAATTGTGAATTGTAGGCTGCTTTTCTTTGCTTTTTGTCTAAAAACCACTTATAAGTGAGTACATACGATAATTGTCTTTCTGGGTCTGGCTTACCTCACTCAATATGATGTTTTCTAGATTTATCCATTTGCCTGCAAATTTCAAGATGTTGTTATTTTTTCTCCATGGTGTACACAAAGGTGGCATTTGGAAACCTCTCTTCTTCATTGGGCAAGCAGCACCCAAAGTGGAGGAAACAGTTCCCTGAAGAGAAACTAGCCGTGGTTTAGCTCCTCACCCAGCTCCGCCAGGGTCTCACTGTGTAGCTCAGGCTGGCCCAGAACTCACCAAAGATCCACCAAATATGCCTTCTGCATGCTAGGATTAAAGATATACAACACCATGCCCAGCATGCCCTAGAATTTAACCTTTTTATAGCATTATTTAAAAAATCTTTTTTGCTTGCTTGTTTTTTAATAAAGAATTATTTTTCCTTTTAAGAAACATACATTATTTTTTTCTATAGAATGTAATTCTCTGCATTTTTTTCCTCACACATGTATATATTTGCATCTGTTTTAATTGCAGGCATTTGTACCAGGCTAGTACCATTCATATCAAGTTTGCCTTGCACATTCAAAGTCTTTATCTTTTTTTGGGGGGGGGGGTTCATTGAGACAGGATTTCTCTGTAGCTTTGGAGCCTGTCCTGGAACTAGCTCTTATAGACCCGACTGGCCTCGAACTCACAGAGATCTGCCTGCCTCTGCCTCCTGAGTGCTAGGATTAAAGGCGTGTGCCACAGCACCACCAGCCCCAGAGCAAGGTTATTTTTTATATTTGCGACTTCTTGCTTGTGTTTTTTAACTAAGTATGTCTACGCTCTACAAATTATGCCGCTCATATTTTAACAATAATGCCCTCTTATTATACCAGACACCACGGACTTACTGCTGTGCGAACACGGAAGACTTGGAGACAGTCATCCACCATGTCCACAGCCTGTACCCTTTGGCCCCATTTCTGGCAGCAGGCGTGTCGATGGGAGGGTAAGGACTTCTCTAAGCTGCTGGAGAGTGGAGCAGTCCTCACGACTGGCTCCCCTCTCCCCTCCCCCTCCCTCTCCTTCTCCCCCTCTCTCCCTCTCCTAAAAGCGAAGGGAGCAGTCCTCACAGCTCTCTCAACACTGAACCATGAATGGCTGAGTCATGTATAGCAGAAGGAATCAACTCAGGCCGACTTTAACATTTTCCTGGGTTCTGTGAGTCCTCCATGGGAAGCAGCCAGGTGAACTTGATTTTGTTAGTTCCCATTCCAGGTGTTATTAAGCTAAGGTGGTTGGTTTATGCACCTGCCCCTACATTGGGGTTTCTATGGGACTTTTTGAAGTTTTATTTATGTGTATGTATGTTTGTCTATGCATGTATATGCTGTGCTGGGGGTGGGTGCTGAGAAGATCCGTAGATGGCATTGAATCCCTTGGAGCAGGTTGTCATTTGAAAAAAGCTGCTGCACGTGAGAGAAAGATGCCATGCGACAGAGCTCAGGTCTCAAGGATTTTTACTGGGAGAAAGTGAATGGGAAGAGGGGGAGGGGAAGGGAAGACCAGCCTCTGGGGACAGTAACTGAAGAAGAAGAGAGGAAGACAGAGAGAGATAGGAGGTGGGCAGGGCCCTTTTAAAGGGAACCTAGTGAGTGTGCACACGTGGAGCTCTTAGTGGCAGCAGCTGAGGACTTATCCTGTCAGAACCCCAAGGTCAGGCCAGTGCAGACGTGCAAGTGTTTGTGGGCAGCCTGCTGTGAGTGCTGGGAACTGAGCTCTGGTCAGGATGGAGCATCTCCAGTCCCTTTCTGGAACTCTCTTTTGCCACACTTATACTTGAGTGATGTCTAACACTAATAACTTTGTAGAGTGTGTGTGGGTGTGTGTGTATATATATAGAGAGAACTCACTTAAAGAAATATAAAAGTTATTATCTAGTATTTATTTCCCTGTACTTTAGATCCCCTCACCATTGTTCATGCTTACTTCTATTTTGTTTTTCATGACAGGGTTTCTCCGTGTAACAGTTCTGGCTGTCCTGGAACTTGTTCTGTAGACCAGGCTGCTCCTAAACTCACTGAGATCCTCCTGCCTTTGCCTCCCAAGTGCTGGATTAAAAGAGTATGCCACCACCGCTGGGCATTAATCTTTTTTAATTATTATTACGTATGCAGTAGTTTGCCTGCATTTGTGCCTGCAGGTCAGTAGAGGGCACCAGATCCTATTGTAGATGGTTGCAAGCCGCCATGTGGTTGATGGGAACTGAAATCATAACCTCTGGAAGAGTAGTCAGTGAGTGGACTGCTGAGCCATCTCTCCAGCCCCTCATGCTTACTTTTTTTCAAATTTATTTATTTTTCACATACAAATCCAAAATTTATTTATTTATTATGTATACAATGTTCCTCCTGCATGAACACTTCCATGCTAGAAGGGGGCACCAGATCTTACTACAGATGGTTGTGAGCTACCACACGGTTGCTGGGAATTGAACTCATGACCTCTGGAAGAGCAGCCAGTGCTCTTAGCCTCTGAACCATCTCTCCAGCCACCAAGCTTACTTTTTAATTTAATTATTTAATTTATTTTTTACAGTGCTGGGGCTTGAATCTAGGATTAATGCGTGTTAGGCAAACACTTTACCACTGAGCCACATACCTCTACCCCAAACTATTTTATTTCAGTTTTCTTAAGTTTTATCTACTGAAAGATTCTCTTTTGCAAATCTTGGTTTTTCTTATCTGCAAAATAAATTTTCAAAAAAAGTAGAAATCTATATGTTGTTGGATTTTCCTTTACTCTTGCCACACATTGGAATACCAATTTTTTTTTTACTTTCTTTGGCTTTTGGGGGGCCTCCACCCAGCTCTCTATGAACCACACATGGAGGCTTATTCTCTCTTAAGCCAGGCCTCAGCTTGGCTTGTTTCTAGCCAATTTTTCTTAGCTTTTTGCCTCTGGGCCTTTTCCTTTTCTTACTTCTGCATATCTTACTCTCCCTTTTACTAGCTGGCTGGTGACTGTCCCCTAATGTCCTCTCTCCTTGTTCTCTTGCTCCTTCTATTTATCCTCTCTGCCTGCCAGCCCCACCTATCCATCCTCCTGCCTTGCTCTTGGCCATTCAGTTCTTTATTAGACCATCAGGTGTTTTACACAGGCAAAGAATCACAGCTGCACAATTAAACAAATGCAGCATAAACAAAGTAACACACCTTAAAATAGTGTTCTGCAACATATATATAAAACTGTAGACATGTTTCCCACCAAACCCTACAAGATAAATGCCACTTATCTCCTTGTCATTAGAATATTTTACCATACATATATTTTATTCCACATGATTGGTGCTCAGTCAGACACACTAAATGACCATTCACCTTTATTATATGAGAGACTAGAGAGATGGATCAGCAATTAAGAACACTTGCTGTTCTTAGTTAAGAACCCAGGTTTGGTTCCCAGCACCCACATGGCAACTAATCTGTAACTCCATTTCCAGGGGACCCTAAGTGAGCTCTTGTGGCCTCCACGGGCACTGCATGTACATGGTTCACAGACATATATGCCAGCAAACAATACATAAAATAGAAGTAAATTGTTCTTTTTTTTTTACCTTTAAAAGCCAGTTAACATTTAAAATAGAAACTATTTTTTAAACTTTATTCTGGCTGTACCTGCCGTCTGTTTTTAGAATATCTTCAGCGTGTATGTGCAGGGAAGGGAAAGGCGGCCATGAACAGGAGGTTCTGCCCAGAGCCCTTTAGGTTCTGACTAAGAATTCATTCCTTACATTAGCATGGAAGGTCTGACTTGACCCAGTAAAGGCAGAGCCCTGAGTCAGCGTGGAAACGAGCAGAGTCAGGTTGTGCTTGGCAGACAGATTCTAGCATCTCTTCCCTCCAGCCCACAGTGTGAACCTGAAAAGACAGAATGAGGGCTGAACTTTTCCCCCTTAATCATATAAATTCATGCCTTTTTTTTCAAGGCTAGCCTTTAAATAAAGAGATTCCAATTGTCTATTCAGAAACTCTTGGGAAAGGCCCTTTCATCCAGCGTTGCAGCGTTGGTGCCTGAAGGCCACCCTCACCAATTAGATTAGCTTTTCCAGCTGGCTGAATATTAATGTCTCGTAAATTATTTGAAGGAATCACACCTTCTAGTTGCCTAGCACTGTGACACATTGACACGTTCCCAAGTGAGTGCACTTTCTTTTCTTTTTCTTTTCTCTTTTTTCTTTTTTACCTTTGAGATGCAGCTGACAAAAGCATAGTGTAAGCAAGAGTTTCCTGCCCAGGGAAGCCACAGACTGGGGGCATCCCAGTGCCTGCAATGTTGGGGCCAAGTATGGGCTTTGAGCCAGAACTGAGTTAAGTCAAGAAACTCTGAAGCTCTAGACCCAGATTCTGCTCTCCCAGTGAGTTGGTAAATACTTTTTAAGTAAGTGGAAAATTCCAAACACATAAAGTGGAAAATTAAGAGTCATTCCTCAGGGTCAGTAATTATCAGCTCGTGGGTAATCTTGTTCCATCAGTATCGCCCACTCCCCCAGTTCGTTCCCAGCTCTGACTGTTAACTGAACCTCATAATCACTTTATTATTGTTTCAGGTGGTACTCACTAGAGCACATGCTTACAATGTGGGAGGCCCTGGCTGCAGTTCCCAGCTCCTCAAAATAATAAATTAATCGGTTGAGTCACTTCTTGGCCTTTTTGTGTGGTGTCTTCTCAGTGTCTGATAAAGCCCCTATCTCGGGGCACTAGGTGAAGTGGATTTTGGAGCAGGGAGATAGAACAGGATCTTGCTTTATCTACACAGCATGCCTTGGAGTGCAGCACACAGCAGAAAGTTGGAAGGCCAGTAAATTAATATTTCAGTTGGTAGCTCTAAATGGAAGACCTGTTTCTTTTTTTTTTTTTTAAGTCCTAATACTCTTCTCCCCCACCCCTCCCGAGACAGGGTTTCTCTGTGTAACAGTCTCGCTGTCCCAGGCTGGCCTCGAATCCACAGAGATCTGCCTTCTAAAGTAAATAATCTAAAATAACCTTTTGAGGTAGCATCTTGACATTATTTTACTCCTGAATTGCCTCTAAAGATTTGGTTTGCCTATTTCGGGGTCTTTCTGCTTTAGATCCTTTCCTGCTCTTGTGGTTTATGTAATTTACCGGCCTCTGGCCATTATCTGACCTCTAGCTGAACCGTAAAGTTATTATATAAGAACCCAAGGATGAACTCTTCACAGGACGGAAAGCATTGTATCCAAATCCTATAGTTATTTCAAAGGGTCATTTTCAAATCCTATGTGATGGTGTACATCCATAAGTCTAGCGTTCCTGGAGGGTGAGGCAGGAGAATTACAACTTCTAAACCAGCCTGAGTTAAAAATAGAGAAGTGCTGTCTCAAAAAAAAATTTCTTTTCCGAACTGACAAGACAGCTCAGGCAAGGTCACATGCTGCCATGCAGGACAACCTGAGTTTTATCCTGGGATCTATGCAGAAGGAGAGAACTGACTTCCTCAGATTGTTCTCTGACCTCCACAAACTTGCTATAGAATGTACATACATGTACACATACATATACACACAATAAATAATTTTTAAAATTTTGAAAAAAATATTTTCAAAAGCTAAATTTCATTTTTCATAAAAATTTCCTGCCCTAAAGCCATTGGTGATGGCCCGTGCCTTTATTTTTTTCCATGATATTTATTGAGCTCTACATTTTTCTCTGCTCCCCTCCCTGCCTCTTCCCTCCCCCCTTCAACCCTTCCCCAAGGTCCCCATGCTTCCAATTTACTCAGGAGATCTTGTCTTTTTTTACTTTCTACTTCCCATGTAGATTAGATCTATGTAAGTCTCCATTAGTGTCTGCTTTGTTGTCTAAGTTCTCTGGGACTGTGGTTTGTAGGCTGGCTTTCTTTGCTTTATGTTTAAAAAACACCTATGAGTGAGTACATGCGATAATTGTCTTTCTGTGTCTGGGTTACCGCACTTAAAATAATGTTTTCTAGTTCTATCCATTTTCCTACAAAATTCAAGCTGTCATTATTTTTTTCTGCTGTGTAGTACTCCATTGTGTAAATGTACCATATTTATATATCCATTCTTCGATCTAGGGGCATTTAGGTTGTTTCCAGGTTCTGGCTATGACAAACAAAGCTGCTATGAACATAGTTGAGCACATGTCCTCGTGGCATGATTGAGCATCCTTTATATATACCAAAAAGTGGTATTACTGGGTCTTGAGAAAGGTTGTTTCCTAATTTTCTGAGACATCACCACACTGACATCCAAAGAGGCTGTACCAGCTTGCATTCCCACAAGCAATGCAGAAGTGTTCCCTTTTCCCCACATCCTCTCCAGCATAAGTTGTCATTAGTGTTTTTGATCTTGGCCATTCTTACAGGTGTAAGATGGAATCTCAGAGTTGTTTTGATTTGCATTTCTCTGATGACTAAGGATGTTGAACATTTCCTTAAGTGTCTTTCAGTCATTTTAGATTCCTCTGTTGAGAGTTCTCTGTTTAGGTCTGTACTCCATTTTGTTATTGGTTTATGTATTCTTTTGGTGTCCAATTTCTTGAGTTCTTTGTATATTTTGGAGATCAGACCTCTGTCTGATGTGGGGTTAGTAAAGATCTTTTCCCATTCTGTAGGCTGATGTTTTGTCTTGTTGACCATGTCCTTTGCTTTATAGAAGCTTTTCAATTTCAGGAGGTCCCATTTATTAATTGTTTCTCTCAGTGTCTGTGCTGCTGGGATTCTAATTAGGAAGTGCCAATGCGTTCAAGTGTACTTCCCACTTTCTCTTCTATAAGGTTTAGTGTGGCTGGCTTTATGTTGCAGTCTTTGATCCATTTGGACTTGAGTTTTGTGCATGGTGATAGATATAGGTCTATTTTCATTCTGCTACATGTTGATATTCAGTTATGCCAGAAGCATTTGTTAAATATGCTTTCTTTTTTCCATTTGATATTTTTTGCTTCTTTGTCAAATATCAGGTGTTCGAAGATGTGTGGATTGATATCCGGGTCTTCTATTTGGTTCCATTGGTCTTTCTGTCTGTTCTTATGCCAGTACCAGGCTGTTTTCAATTCTGTAGCTCTGTAGTAGAGTTTGAAGTCAGGGATTGTGTTGCCTCCTGTTGTTTTTTTTTTTTTCAGGTTTTTTTTGGTTTTCCTTGTTTTTTTTTTTTTTTTTTTTTTTTTTTGCTTTTCCAAATGAAGTTGAGTACCGTTCTTTCGAGGTCTGTGAAGAATTTTGCTGGGATTTTGACGGGCAGGTCCGTGCCTTTAATCCCAGCACTTTGAAGGCAAAGGCAGTTGTATCGCTGAGAGTTCAAGGCCAGCCTGGTCTACCGAAAAAGTTTCAGGACAGCCAGGGCTACACAGAGAAACCCTTTGTCAAAAAACAAACAACAACAAAACGAATGTTTTGTAAACTTTTGAGTTATAAAAGTAAGGAGGAAGTATTCTATCCTTTTCTCCTATTTCAGAGCTAGTCTGGAAGAAACTATACTGAGAGGTAGAACTAGGGTGTCACCCTTGGTTTGAGCCATTGAACTCTAACTCAGACTCAGGTTTTGTCCCTCTTACCCAAATAGAACTTGGCTAAAATTGAGGAAATAGAATGAAGAAACAGAAGAAGAGAAAGAAGTTCAGTAACTTCCGGGTCCAAATGCCCTGCTCATAAAATCTAACAGTGGACTGTAGAGTGCTTTGGAGGACGGGTGTGGAGGGTGACCAACCAACCAGACCAGAGAATTCAGGAGCTCAGGGTATGAGGGCCAGACAGTAGTAGTAAGGACTTCCCAAAGCCCCTGGTGATCCAGTGCGCAGCCGTGCGTAAGAGCCGCTCAGGGTAACTATCTTTCGTGTTCTTATGAAACATATAGTAATAAATTGTCTTACAGTTTGTCAAGTGCAATATAAGTAAGGATGTGGGTCGGGCATGTGGGTACACACTTGTTCTCCAAAGACTCAAGAGGCAGATGGGAGAGTGCATGACCCTGTTTCAGGAAGGAAACAAATGCTTTTAAATAGAAATGTGAGCATGGCAGATGAAATGTCTCAGTGGGAAAAGGTGCCTGCCACCAAGCCTGGTGACCCAGATTCAACCCACATGGTGGACGGCGAGAACTGACGCTGACCTCCCTACACTGTGGCGTGTGCACATACGCAAATCCATGTAAAGAGGTCTGGATATGAATATGAGGAAAGAACAAAGACAGTTCCAGTGTGCAGGACTTAAACAGTAGACACGGGTGATGGTGCTGCCCAGCTCTTGGGAGGCTAAGCTAGAAGGGTCCAGTATTCAGGCTTATTCACAGAGTTGAATGGACAAGGTCAACTGGGCTGCAAGAGGCCTTATCTCAAAAAAAAAAAAAAAAAAAAAAAGGAAAGAAAAGAAAAAGAAAGAGTAAGCAATGCGTCCTTGCTGCTTCTGCCTGTTCTTGTGAAGCACCCTTAGAAAGGGACTCTTGAGACAAACCAGTCACAGTCTTCTTGTTTCTCACCATCTTAGAATGCTGCTTCTAAATTACCTGGGCAAAATTGGGTCCAAAACTCCTCTGATGGCAGCTGCAACATTCTCAGTTGGCTGGAATACTTTCGCTTGCTCAGAGTCGTTGGAGAAGCCGCTAAACTGGCTGCTGTTTAATTACTACTTGACAACTTGCCTCCAGTCTTCAGTTAAGAAGTAAGTCATATTTAAACTTTTTGTTGCCAAACATTTTAGATTACACAATCCAGCAGTATGAAATTTTAGAGTTTAACACTACCAGTATATGTATATTTATTTATAAACATATTTATTACAGTACTAAAATATTCTTTATATTATGGATGCATACCAAAAATTATAAGGTAAAAATATAGATAAAATGCAGGTGGGTGGTAGTCGCGCACACCTTTAACCCCAGCACTCCCAAGTGGGAGGCAGAGACAGGCATGTCTCTGTGAGTTTGAAGCTTGTCTGTTCTGCAAAGTAAGTTCCAGGACAGCCAGGACTGTTAGACAGAGAATCTCAGGTTATCGGGTTTGGTAGCAGGCACCTTTACCCACTGAGCCATCTTAGACCCTATCTTGAAAAACCAAAAGAAAAAGGCATTAATGTATTCTTTCTGTGTTTGTGCCCCTCTGTTTGTTTTGCTATTCTAAATTATTCTGAAAACTACATTAGTGTGGAGTGTATTTGGTGATATGTTTGGGCTGTTTCCTTAGATTTTCTGGTTGTCAGTCTTTTTCAAACCTAATTCTTTCTCAGGTAGTATGTTAAGAATGTCCTGTGTGGTGGTAAACCCCTTTGATCCCAGTACCCAAGAGGCAGAGGCAGGCAGATCTCTGTGAGTTCAAGGCCAGCCTGGTCTAAATTGTAAGCTCCAGGACAGTTTGGGCTACATAAAGACCTTGTCGCAAAAAAACAAACACAAGAGTGTCCCATGTTGAATAATCCAGCTCCTTAAGCATGTTCTTACAAGCATAGTGTGTTTTAGAAATGGGAGCATGTGAGCTAGTAAGATGTGGTAGTGTGAGCCTGTGTGTGGTAGTGTCAGTCTGTATGTGGTAGTGTCTGTCAGTCTGTATGTGGTAGTGTCTGTCAGTCTGTATGTGGTAGTGTCTGTCAGTCTGTATGTGGTAGTGTCTGTCAGTCTGTGTGTGATAGTGTCTGTCAGTCTGTGTGTGATAGTGTCTGTCTGTCTGTGTGTGATAGTGTCTGTCTGTAGCCCCAGCCCTCGTGAGAGGATGGGAGGCAGAGGTGGGGCTAGCCTGGTAAAAACGGCAACCCATACCAAAGCTGTCTTCTAACCTCGACATGTGCACACGTGTGTATGTACACACACACAGACTTTAAGCAAACTTAAAATTATTTTCATTACACTTTTATTAACTTTGTGTGGGCAGTATGCTAAGTAGGTCAAAGAACTGTCTGTGAAGAAATTCTTTCTATCGTTTGGGTCCAGGCCAACAGGCTTGAGAGCATATGTCTTTACCACTGAGCCCAGCAAATACTGTGTTAGTACCAGTGTTGCGCCCTGTGCTAGTTAGTCTGTTTCATTACCTGTCCTTATGTATTTTAGGTATGACTGAGGTAGAGATTACCTCAATTCTTAGTTTGGAATTTCTTTTGTTCTAGGCACCAGCATATGTTTGTCAAACAAATCGACATGGACCAGGTCATGAAGGTAAGGGGTAGCTTTTCCTAATATTTTTATTTCCTCTTATGTCTCCAAGGGTAGATTCAGCCTGGATTTGTTTTTTAGGCTAAGTCTATTAGAGAGTTTGATAAACGATTCACCTCAGTCATGTTTGGATACCGAACAATTGATGATTATTACACCGACGCCAGTCCTAACCGCAGACTGAAGTCCGTGGGAATCCCGGTGTTGTGCCTGAATGCCGCGGATGATGTCTTCTCGCCCAGCCACGGTAAGAATCTGTCCACGCTTCGGCGTGAATTAATTCTTTCAAAGACATCTTTTAGGTTCATTTCTGTGTATGCCTGTGTGCATGTATGCCGTGTGCGTGTATGCCGTGTGCGTGTATGCCCTGTGCGTGTGTGCCGTGTGCGTGTGTGCCGTGTGCGTGTATGCCGTGTGCGTGTATGCCGTGTGCGTGTATGCCGTGTGCGTGTATGCCGTGTGCGTGTGTGCCCTGTGCGTGTGTGCCCTGTGCGTGTGTGCCGTGTGCGTGTATGCCGTGTGCGTGTATGCCGTGTGCGTGTATGCCGTGTGCGTGTATGCCGTGTGCGTGTGTGCCCTGTGCGTGTGTGCCCTGTGCGTGTGTGCCTGTGTGCGTGTGTGCCCTGTGCGCATAGAGGCCAGAAGAGGGCAACAGATGCCTGGAACTGGAGCCACCAGACATCAGTGCTGGGAACTGAGCCCCAACTGCTGAGCCGTCTCCCCAGTTCCTAGTTTAACTTTTAAAATGTTCTTTTTAAGGAAGTACAGCAGTCATATAATGTTTTCCATTATAATTTTCACTAAAACGCTGCCTGCATGGAGCTCCCTGCCTGTAATCCCAGCACCTGGGCACCGATGCGAAAAGAAGAAATGCGCTCGAGGCCTGAACCCTGATAACTTTAATAACTTCCAACCTGGGCCAGGAAGACATTATCTTGAAACATAAAAACAAGCAAATAAAAGTTAGCGTTTAGAACTTAGTATCAAAGTGCTTCAGACCACATGACCAGTGTTTTCAGGGTTCCCTTCTGCTGTCAGACTCAGGCCCAGTGAGAGCTGATTGTGTGTTCTTGTGTTTGTGAGCTTTGGTTCTCGAAGGCAGGGCCTTTGGGCAGATTATGCTCTGGCATCTTTGCCTGGGGAGAGCCCCTCATTTTCCTGGGGTTCCAAAAAAAAAAAAAAAAGTTGAAGTTTTTCTTCCCCTTTAACCTGAAAGAGGACTTGAAACTTTAGAAACACAATGTCCTTGAGTATTTCAATGCTGGAAGCAAATCTGAGCCAAAAATTTATTTCTAAATGAAAATAGATTATAGGTTTTTTTTATTTCTCCTGGAAAGAGTAAGGAAGAAAATTATTCCAAAATTAACTTCCATACTCTCTTAATTTAAGAATAGCAGTTGGGCAGGAAAGATGGCTCAGTGGTTGGAAACATGTATTGCTCTTGCCAAAGTCCCAAGTTCAGTTCCCAGCACCTACATCAAGCAACAGGAAATCACCTGTAACACCAGACCTATCGCCACCTGCTGGCCTGCACAGGCACTTCACTCATATACACAACCTGTTCTACACATGCGTAATTTAAAATAACAAAAGTAAATCTTAAAAAGAAGTCTCCTAATTTAAAAACCAGCAATAAGCATACGTATTTGTTTATCAAACATGTATGCCATCTTACTAACTTACAAATAATCTTACAAACTTGGGAGTCAAAAGGCTTGCCCTCTGACTGTGTGTAAAGATGGCTATTATTTTGTCGTTGTCAACACAGGATGTTACTCTGTAACCCAGGCTTCCCTGGAACTCGTGATCCTCCTGCCTCCACCCCCATGTTGTGGAGTGTCAAGTGTGAGCCATCATGCCTGGCTCCAAAAAATCTTTTTAAATCAGTTTTAAGCTTTAATGTGTTTGGGTGTTTTGCTTTCATGTGTGTCTGCACCTGGTGCCCACAGATGCCGGAAGTGGGAATCACAGCTCCTGGAACTAGAGTTACAGATGGTTGTGAGCTGCCACGTGGGAGCTGGGACTCAAACCTGGGTCCTCTGGAAGATCTTAAGTGCCCATAACCACTGAGTCATCTCTCCAGCACCTCAAGAAAAGAATCTTTTATTTTCTCCAAATACTTAATTAAAAGCATTTATTTTGGGTTGGGCTGGAGCTCAGTGGTAGGGTGCTTGCCTGGTTCATTTGAGGCCCTGAATTCAGCCATCACTAAACAGAATTAATTACCCAGATTCCAACCCTAGCGATTGTGTTGTAAAGTTTTAGAACATCCCAACATACACAGATGCCTTAATCACGTTTACCCAGAGGTCATTTCTAATAACTGGCACTTTGGGCCTTCACTTGTAGATAAGAAAATGAAAGCTGGGCATCAGTGGCGCACGCCTTTAGTCCCAGCACTCGGGAGGCAGAGGCAGGTGGATCTCTGTGAGTTAGAGGCCAGCCTGGTCTACACAGCTAGTTCCAGGACAGGCTCCAAAGCTACAGAGAAACCCTGTCTTGAAAATTCAAAGAAAGAAAAGAAACTGAAACTGGCTTTGGTGTCAGTTAAATTACACAGTGCTCCTTCGCATCTTTTCACTGGGTCAGATCTGACGCTTCTCCATCCGTTTTTATCCTTTGCTGCCTGTGCTACAAACAAGAGTTTCCCAGCATTCAACCTGACCCACAAGGGTGAAGTTGCAACTCATTGTTTCCTGTTTTTTCCCAGGCCCTTAAACCAGTCTTACCACATAGTGGACAATTGTCTGCAGCCTGCGGGAACAGGCAGCCAACACCCTTCACAAGGCTGCGCTGTCTGCAGTCAGGGTTAGATTCTCTCAGAGTGCTGGGGGGAGCCCGGTGGGAGAACTTAGATTGAGCATTCACGAGGTCCCCAGTTGGCCTTTGGGGCATGTGCCCTGCACTTGTGGACGCACACACATATTTTATTTTTCCACTGTCTGAACACTAACACCTAGGAGAAAAAGAAAGCAACTTTAATTCATGACCTTGAAGTCTGTTTAAAATTAACGTGATAGGGGTGCACAAACACTGCTGTTCCTGGGGAGTTGTTTTATGTCACTCCTGAGCTGTTTTCCAGTAGTTTCTCTTTCCTGTTCGAGAAACAGAGAATCAGAAAGACAGGAAATATATATATATATATTGAAATCTGGGATTTCAAGTCCTTTGTAGAGTTATCAATCATGAATCATGTTTAGACATCTAAATTCACATATGATCAAAATTACACCGAATGGATTTACAACTCTCACAAAGGTTAGCTTAGTTTTAATTTCAGAAAACAAGAATCAGCCTGTGTTTTTATTTTGTTTTATCTGGTCTTTCTAGATGTGTTTGTGCACGAGTATCCACACACTCTCACGAGTGCTCCAGAGCATTAGGAAGGTCTCAGGCAGTTCCATCACTGTGCCGTGTGGGTCCCAGAGACCAAACCCAGGCTATCAGGCAGGGGACAAGTGCCTTGGTAGCTGAGCTGTCTCACAGCCAATAAACAGCCTGCACGTTAGGTTATGTAAAATCTTGGATTGATTCCTTTAGAAATAAGGATCTAGGAGAAATAGGTATTGTTATAAGATATAGATGATTGTATAAATTAGTCAGACTCAGTCCATTTAGCCACACTCATCACAAATATTTGTTTAATGATTAGAGTGTTTTTACTGATTAGAAATGATAAAGTGTGCTTTACCTAACAATGTTAATGCTCTCTCTCCCCCCCTCCCCGTCCTTCCCGCTCCCACCTCTTTACCACCAACACCCCATCTTACTGCTTTGATCCCTCAAGCTATCCCAGTAGAAACTGCTAAGCAAAACCCTAATGTCGCTTTGGTTCTTACTTCTTATGGAGGCCATATTGGTTTTCTGGAGGGAATCTGGCCTAGGCAATGCACTTACATGGATCGAGTCTTCAAGCAATTTGTGCAAGCCATGGTCGAGCATGGACATGAACTCAACAACATGTAGTTCCTTGGGTACATTAAGTCTGAGCCACCATTGTTGGATCACCTCAGCTCAGTGCACAATGTCAACTCCTGAGTGTGAAGCTGGCAAGCCAGCAGATGGTGAGGAGGTCCAGTGCTGTGGGAAGCAAAACAACTTTGTAGCAAGAACTAAAGCTAGTGTAGATTGTTCCTGCTGTAGCTCTTATTTTTACTCTGCCTTACCAAGTACGACCTTAAATTAAGTAGTCCTTATAAACATGAATTGCACTTAACCAAAACTATTGTGTAAAAGATTTTAATCCTCAGGGTTTTCGTTTAGACTGGTATTGTTAGATTACCCAGTCCAATGACTTAATGACTGTTAAGAGATTGTGATGATTTGAATGTAAGCTCTAAGCGGGCATTCCCGAAAGCTCAGCACTGACCAGGGACACGCGCTGCACCGCGTGTGTTCTGACCTGAGAGGGCGAATGCAGCCGTTAGACTGCCTCCTGATAATGTTCAATTAGGGCTGACCTGTGTTTTACAATTATCATTTACATGCTTATTTTTAAAATAGTACATGTGCATACATATATCATTATATTAAAATAAATTCTATCATTTTAAGTTGCTTCTTTGTGAATTTTTATCTATAGAAGTAGAGCCCTGTTGGGTGTGGCAGCACACAGGTTTAATCTCAGCACTCAAGAGCCACAGTCAGGTGGATTACAGTGAGTTTGAGGCCAGCCTGGATTGTAGTGAGCTCTAGTCAGCCAGGGCTACAGAGTCTCAAAGAAAGAAAAAAGGCCCAGAGTGAAATATCTGAAAAGTATGCAATTGATAATTTCATAAATATATTACCAAGAAAACGTCTTACTTCACTGTTTTCAGGATATAGGCTGACGTCACATGCCACTGAAGAACACTTCAGGCTGGGGCACTTTCCTAGCATGCAGAGAGCCTCGGTTTAATCCCCAGAACTACATAAAATTGAGCACGCTGCTGAGCATGTAGCCTGTAATTGCAGCACTGTGGGGGTTGTTCAAGGGCCAAGAGTGGAGAGGGGACACTTTGGGCTACAGGATATTTAATTGGGTTAAAAGGTATCACAAGATCACCCCCCCCACACACACACACTATGTGTAATAATTTTTTGGTTTTTTTTTTTTTTTTTGGATTTTTTGAGACAGGGTTTCTCTGTAGCTTTTGGTTCCTGTGCTGGAACTCCCTTTGTACCAGGCTGGCCTCGAACTCACAGAGATCCGCCTGCCTCTGCTTCCCGAGTGATGGGATTAAAGGCGTGCGCCACCACCGCCCGGCTGTGTGTAATAATTTTTAAAATTAAGTTTAAAAATAAAAAATAATTTAAGCATCGGGTTAGTTAGCTCAGCTGAAGAGTGTCTGCCCATGTCCAAGTCCCTGACTTCAATCTCCCAGTACCACGGGAAAAAAACAATAATTTGGTAGTTATTGGCAAATCCCTTTTATAGAAGTTTTGCCGTCTCTGTGGTCCTGTCTGCAGTACTGACATCGTAAACTGTCTTGTTTAGTCCTGGCTGACCTCGGATTCGCTATGTAAATCAGGATAGCCTCCAACTTAGAGATCCACTTCTTTCTAAGACTGAAATTAATGGTGTGTGCCGTCAAGTCTGGCTCTCAAACTGTTTGAATTTTGAGTTTGTTTTTTTTTTTTTTTTTTTTTGATACATGTCTCATTATATAGCCTAAGCTGATCCCAAACTCTCAGCCCTCCAGCTTCAGTTTTCTGAATATCTGGGATACAAAGTTGTAACCATGCCCAACTCCGAAACTATTGTGTGATAATTTCATAAGTGAATATATTTTGATCAAATTCTACCCCTCCAATTCTTTCTGTAGCCACTCCAGCCTTTTTTATGTGCATTGGTGTTTGAGTTGCATGCATGTCTGTGTGAGGGTGTCATAGCCCCTAGAGCTGGAGTTACAAAGGATTGTGAGCTGCCGTGAGAGTGCTGAATTAACTCGGGTCCTCTGAAAGAACCACTGAGTATCTCTCCAGCCCTCATGTGTTCTTTTCTTTTTTTTTTTCTTTTTTTATGAAAGTGAACTCAATGTCAGGTCTTCCACTGCGACATGAGCAGCCTAGCAGGGTCAGCATCCAAAGAGAACGAGCTCCCCCAGTAGACATTCACTGCCAATAATGCCCCCAAGGCTCAGGAGCCATCATGTGGGGAAGACTGAGAACCAGGGGTCGTGGAGAACTGAGGAAAACTGTGCAGCAGCTGTGCACAGTGAAGGCGCTCGGCCTGACAAGGAGCATGGGAGAAATGAAGAACAGATTGACAGACTGCAGTCTCTGATGGGGAAGCTGCGTAACATTGTTATCATACAGCTGACAATGAGATGAGGGTTGTTACAGATCAACAGAAAGGGTTTGTGCTATACAGCTGGATCAAGGAATCAGATTTAGCTCCTCTAGATAGGAGTGGTCTCTGCAGAGGAGCAGTCTTCAGGCTGTAAACATGGGGTGGGGAGAGCTACAGTGAACGTTGTTTGAACACGCTGTCACTTTTCACACTTAGGACCCCAAGGAAGGCTTTGCCATGTCCCTCTAGGTATGAAGCAGAATCCTGGACATGGCAATACTCACTCAGGACCTCACACGCTCCCCACAGTAGTGTTTTCCGGACATGACCAGGTCATGCACACAGCAGCTCAAGGTGGCTGTGACTGCATACACAAGACTACAAAAGGTCGAGCCTGTCAGAATTCCACTGTGGATAAGGAAGGGGCTTAGTCACACTCCTAGCTGATGGAACTTTAGTTTTGATTTTATTTTACTTAATATTTGGGGAGAGAGAGAGAGAGAGAGAGAGAGAGAGAGAGAGAGAGAGAGAGAGAGAGAGAGAGAGAGAATGAGTGCCGTGATGAATGTGTTAAGATCAGAGGACAGTTGAGTCAGCTCTCCTTCCATGTGGTCTACGGGAGACTTGTCTCCAAATGGTTCAGTTTTTTTTTTTTTTTTTGATATTTGGGCTATTTAGCCTTTATGGTGGTATAAAGGGTTACTAGGGTAAAGAGAAGAGTGGGGTACAGAGCTGTGTGTGCCATGGAACAGAACTGCACACAGGGAAATCCCACAGGCGATACGGACAAGTGACGCACTCTACTATGGTCTGGGGAATAGGAGACAATTCTCTAGTGTGTGTGGCTCGGCAGGTGGGGGCTTGCCGCCAAGCCTGACAGTCTGAGTTCAATCCCTGGACCGCACCCACAGAAGGGAAGAACAGATTGCTGAAAGCTGTTTTCAGATCCCACACATGCTCCATGGCAAATATGCACTCACACACATGCATCACAAAAATAAATGGTAAGAACTTTTTAAAAATGTATTATACTCGTTTATTTTTAAAATAAAAAAATAAATGCAAAGGACTTATGAAACATGGCAAGCAGAAGAGATGGGAATAGAAGACTGTGAGGAAACCCAAGACAATGACATTCAAATGCTAGTTAATCACTCATGAAGAAAACATGAGAATTTCAGATGAATGTGAATGCTTTGTAGTATTGCCAAGCAATGCAGCCAGACTCCTTAGGATAGACAACTATGTGTTAACTGCAATACCAGACTAACAGTATCTTGTCCAGGCTGGTGATGTATGCCTATAATCCCAGCATCTGGGAGTCTAAAACAAAAGGATAGCCATGAGTTCCAGGACAGCCTAGTGTACACACCAAGAGTCTGTCTTGAAAACAACCAAGAAACAAACAATACACCACACACACACACACACACACACACACCTGGGTGTTACGGGGTATGCACCTATAATCTCAAATATAAAACATCTCCAAACCAAAGCAGGATATAGTATTTCAATTTTTCAATTTATTTCTTTTTTCTTTCTTTTTTTTTTTTTTTTTTTTTTTTTTGAGAGCAGGTTTCTCTGTAGCTTTGGAGCCTGTCCTGGAACTAGCTCTTGTAGTCCAGGTTGGCCTCGAACTCACAGAGATCCGCCTGCCTCTGCCTCCCGAGTGCTGGGATTAAAGGCGTGCGCCACTATCCGGCTGTACTATTTCAATTTCAGCTCCTTCCCCCCACTATAACATCTCATTACAACAGACAGAAGAACTGTGGGTATTGAATGAGATAAACAATGCAAAGTTGGAAGAGCAAAATGACTCAGCATGTCAGCATCTGCCATCAAGTCTCATAACCTAAATCCAACCCCCGGACCCTACAGGGTGGATAGGGATAACCAGTTCCCCAAAAATATTCCCTGACATTCATATGCACACTGTGGCATGTGTGACATACACATTAATAATTAATAATAATAAAATACAACTTTACCAAAATATTTAAAGCCAGGAACATGGTGCCTGACCAGTTTTAGCAGTACTTAAGGTAGAAAACCAGAATAGGCCACAATTTTACCAAGTTCTCCTAAACTAGACAGTATTACAAATTCACTTGGGTAGATTGAGAAGAAGATGGATTTCTTCAGCCTCTGAATGAAAGCATCTGTGATGCAGTCTGTCCTCCTGCAGACATCAGAGCATCTGTGATGTAGTCTGTCCCCCTGCAGACATCAGAGCATCTGGTGACACAGTCTGTCTCTATGCAGACATCAGAGTATCTGGTGAAGCAGTCTGTCTCCATGCAGACATCTGAGTAAAGTGATAATTTAAAAAAAAAATACCATTCACAGTTCTTCTAAGCCTATTATAGCACTTGTCACAAGGAAAGCTCTCAGCCTTGAGAACTTAATTTGAAATAGATGAGGACAATCTGCCAGGTGATAATGAATGCCTAAGAAGTGTTGTGTTTTAGCTCCTGTTCTCACTAAATGACAGCACTTTGACCCCCACT